TAAGGAACAAGTGGATAGTTTATTTTATTAGCATCTCGGATCGTGTCGGAGGATTTTGTTTTGTAATCGAGGCACAGTGTCATGGAGAGTCACAAAGAATCATTTGTTGAAAGATGAAACGGAACTAGATATGCATCACAAACCATAAGTAAATGATTTCATAATGCTTCGTCTGGAAATAACCGCTTTATTTTGATCATGTTCACACTCATGCAATAGCGAGGGGCGTTGATACTGTTTCCTATGCAGTGACGTTAGCCAATCACAACAGCGGCTGATTACTGACGAGCCTTAAAGGACACGCCCCTTAAAACAGATCGTTTCAGAGAGGGTCAGAATGAGGGTAGAAAATGATCATTTTTCCACATATTTATTTGTTTTATTTGTTTTTGTGTGCAAAAAAACTTTATTAACATTATAAGTAAACCTCAAAGAACATATTAAAATAAAAAAATCCATGTCATGACCCCTTTAACATTTCTGTAGCTTAAATAGCATGAGCATGACACAAGCAAAGGCAGCATCATGGGATCTATTCCCAGAGAACACATGAACTGGTGAATCTGCACCTTAGGAAAAAAGCAGCTGCCAAATGCATAAATGTGCATGTAACGTTCATTCTTTTTTCTTTTCAAGTTTGTTTAGTTTTCGTTAGCATTCACTCTATCAAAGTTTTAGTTTAGTTGTAGTTTGTTTCAATGTTTTCTAGTTTTAGTTTATTTGGGTTTTGTTTTAACGTTTTAGGGCTGCCAAGCTTCATCCAAACTGCCATCATTTTATATTGTTTAACGTTTTGGAGTCATGAAAATGTATTTTAGTTTGCTGTTGCTGATGGGAATGTGTTTCTATGGTAACGCAGTGTTTTGTTCTGTCTGGTGTTTTCGCTGAAGTCATATTTCGGGCGAGCCGCAGCTCTGATGGAGATGAAATGGTTTGGTCCGTGCGTCCGGTCGGTCTCGCTGTAAACATGGTGTCTGCCAGCGACTGTATGCTTCAGCGGTCGGTGAATAACTCCAGCGTCTGCCTGCGGTTTCCTCATCACCCCCCAGAGTCTCAGAGAGCCACCTTCACCTCTCACTCACCCCGGGCTCCTCGCGTCGCTGTTTCTCATTGGCGTCGCTGGGGTTAAAGAGCCTCACCGTGACCTCATGTTTGAAGTTTAGCTGCGCTCTGAAGTCACATCGCTGGAACCGGGTTTAACTTCCTGCACCAGTGATGGTGATCATGGCCTCATGGTCCAGCTTTCCTGATAAAATGAAGTCTGTTCTGTTTTCATCCTCTTAAAAGAGTGAAAAATCATTGACTCTCCTTGTGACTGACTGTTTTCTGTGGAACACAAAAGCAGATGTTCAGCAGAATGACCATGCTGCTCTTTTCCCTACAGTGAAGTCAGACGCACTATCTACACTGTATAACTGTATAAATGTTTTTAGGCATTGCTCTACAATGCAGGGTGAAAGCATTTTTCTTCTTTCTCTCCCACGTTTGTAAAGGGTCTCCAGTGTCCGCTCGCTCCTGCTGTGTGTGTTACGCAGGAGAATTAATCCGCTGAGACGTGTCCTTCTGTAACGTCACTGCATCGAGTCACGACCCCCCCGTGTCTTTGTTGTGGTTAAGCTGCAGAACAGTCGTCATGAGTTTGGGGTCTTGGGGCTTTGATGCACAGGCGGCCGTCACGTCTCTGAGCGAATGCGACTTCACAGGAGGCAGCATGAGGCCGCTGCGCTTTATGGCACTCGTTTTAAGTGCTTTTGTTTTCTTCAAAGGGAGTCTAAGATTTGAGGAGAACATTCTCAGGCGCTGAGCTCTGAGCTCATGAGGTTTCTCATGAGCACAGCTTCTGAACTGGATCTGACCTTCCATCAGCCGTGCAGCGTGTGTGTGTGTGTGTGTGTGTGTGTGTGTGTGTGTGTGTGTGTGTGAGAGTGATGCCACGTCTCATTTACATGCCATACCATCCAGTGAAGCCCACCTCTTTAGCCCTGCCCACTGCAGTTCCTCAAATATTTTGAGCTTGTTAAAGGGATGGTTCACCCAAAAAAGAAAATTACCCCATGATTTACTCACCCTCAAGCCATCCTAGGTGTATATGACTTTCTTCTTT